CTTCTCATCCCTCTCCCACTCAGAGCGACTCTTTGACGGCATCATCACCGCTGCGGCGCTTGCGAGGCCGCACGTCACAAACATAAGCGTGGCGCTGCCGCGGATCATCGCGCGGCGTGCCATCTTCGACGACCCTTCTGGCATCCTGAGCCTCTCCCTCGCCAACACCGGCAGCGGAGCTGTCCGTGGCCTCCTGGCCACTGTGATGCTGCCTGGGGCGTACCGCGCCGCATCGGCGACTGCACGCGCGCCCGGCGGCGGGGTCGAGGCGCTTGGCCTGCGCTGCGAGCGTGACATACACGCTGGCGGCGCGCTCTGCACCCTCGACCCCGTCGACATCGCCGCCACCGGCGACACTTTGATCGAGGTGCACACGTGCTTGTGCTCGACGCGACGGCTCCGCGAACGCCGCGCTCTCTTCGGCTCCGCCCCGTTGGCCCCCGACCCGCCAGCTTGCGAAGATGCTAGTTTGGACGACGTGCAGTGTTGACCGTGGTATGGTAGTGTAGAGCCCACCGGCCGCGCACGTTCCACGTCTTGTGGAGCTTGGAGAGCCGCTCCCAGAAGGTGACTGGGTCGACGGAGAGGTCGCCCATCGCCACGGCAGGCACGAGACGAGGCTGCGGCGGCGCTGTCTCGTCGGTGTCCGAGCCGCTGGTGCCCTCCGCTCGCGCCAACGTGAAAGAAACGCGCGGCGCGGGAGGCTGGGTGTGTCGGGACGGCGACGTGCCACCGAGGCACCACAGCGCAGCAGCCCACACGCCGCCCGACATCACGGTTACGGGGATACTCTACGGGCGCGGGGGTGCACCCGTCTGGGCCGTCTCGCTCTCGTCTGTGCATGGCGTACTGCTACTGGCCACTGCGGGGTGTGCATGTACGGGCACGTCCTTTGTAGGGGGAAAACACGGAGCGCTAATCATATGTCGATGCAGAGATAGGACTGAGGAGCAAACGGCACACCACAGAGCAATCGTCGGGGCAGAAAAGTGAGATCGCCTCGTCAGTAGAGGCCCATGCTAGGGCGCCATGGGCGCCGCCCATCTCGACCCTTCACCTGTCAGGCGGCCGCCTTTACTTTTCTGAGTCGCCACTGCACGGTCCCGCGCCTCGCCGCTAGGGCTCTAAGACGGGGGACACGGCCACGACTATGGGTCGTGTCCCCGCGCCCGCGTACGTGTGGACTATGGTCTATGCAGACTAGGTCCAGTATATATACCAAAAGGAGGGCTACCCAACGCGGCCAAAGGATATCCACCTCGAGACCTCGAGACCTACACGAGAGCAACCAGCGAGCGGCCCGCCCCCCCCCCCCCCTCCCCCCGGGCTCCGCTCGCGCAGCAGGCCTGCGCCGCTACCCCAGCACGCGCGCTGACAGCCTCGGCGCTCGCGCACCGCCGTATGTTCGCAACGCCGCCGCCCGACTGCGTTGCTCGCGCGGAGGGCGCGCTCGTGCTGCACGTCGACAACTTCACGTCTGTCCAGGCCGCGCTCGACGCCGCTGCCGCGAGCGCGCGAGCGCACGCAGCGAACACTGCGCTCTTGTTTGCTTTGCGCGAGTACCGGCTCGGTAGCTCAGGCACTGCTGGCAGCAGCGTGCTGAGCGTATCCAACGTTGCAAATTTGCGCATCGACGGCTGCGGAGCGACGGTTGTAGTGACAACGCCGGTTGCTGGATTCTTGCGCGTCACAAACGCCACGCGCCTTCTCGTGAGCAACCTGACGATTGACTATGAGCCTCTGCCGATGACTCAGGGACGCGTGGTCGCGGTGCGCTCGCCGCTGCGCTACTCGCTCAAGATCGACAACGGCTTTCCGATGCTGAGCAACCCATACTTTGTCGCGTCTGGCGCGTACCGGGCCGAGCGCTGGGCCCTGGTCAAGGATCGTGCGGCGCCGACGCGGCACAAGGAGGGCACTCTCAACCTGCACGTCGTCGCCAACTGGACGGATCGCGGCGGCGGCGTCTTTGACGTGACGCTCTGCTCTCCCCTCGAGCTCAGCAGGACGTGCACTTCACGCCTCGGCGCCGGCGCGGTGCCTCCGCCACTCGAGTCGCGAGATGATGCCGTCGTCCCTCCAGAGGTCGGCGACCCAATCGTGCACCTTGCGCGCTACTACGAGTCGCCAACGTTCGGCCTGAGCCTGTGCGGCGAGTGCGCGTTCGAGGGCGTGAGCATCCACGCGTCGCCCGGCGCGTCGTTCGTGGCGGAGGGCTCGAGCGCCCTCGTCGTGCGCGACGCAACAGTCGCGCCTGCGCCAGGGCGCTACCACAGCACCAATGCGGACGGCGTGTTCGTTTTGGACGCGCGCGTCGGGCCCACCGTCCACGGCTCACGGCTCGTGGCCATTGGCGACGACGGGATCATCGTCAAGACGCGCAGCGGCGTATGCACGCGGCAGGTCGGCGAGTCGTACACGCTGAGCGGCATCGGCCTTCCGCGCCCAGGCGACGTGATGCGCGTGTGGACTCCCACGGCCACGAGCGGGTTGCCCGCCGCGAGTGCCACCGTGCTTTCCGCGGCAGGCCCGGCGTCCGCGCCGACCGTCAGCTTCGCCGAACCGCTCGATGGCATCGCCTGCGACGCGACGAGCTTGTGGGCGAATGACAACCTCACCGGTCCGGGCTTCCGCATCGCTGACAGCACGATCGCGTCACGCCGCTTCGGCGTGCTGTGCATGGCGCGCGACGGCGTCATCGAGCACAACGCCTTCGTCGACAACCCGGCTGCTGCCGTGCTGCTGATCAACGACGACGACTACGACGACCCCAAGGAGGCGCGCATGGGATGGATGCCGCGCAACGTCACCATCGTGCACAACGCCTTCGTGAACAACAGCCGCTGCGCTACAGACCCGTGGCATACTGGCACCGCTCCGTCACTGCTCGGGGTGGTCGCCACAGCCGTCGTCGGGCCGCATGCAGGGCAGCCCGCGCCCTTCCGCCGCCTCACGTATCGTGGCGTCCGCAGAGTCACCGTTGCGGACAATCGCTTCGACGGCTGGTTCCGTGGCCTGGCCATCTCTGTCGGCAACGCGGCCAGCGCGGCAGTGCGCGACAACACGATTGCCAACCCGCCCACATCGTCGTCCGGCGTGCCTCTCGGCGCGGCAGTGGCCGTCTGCGAGGCTGATGGCGTCGCGATCGACGGCAACGCGCTCGTAGGGCGATGGAGCAGCGTCGCCGCCGCCGTCAGCGTCGATGCGCGATCGACGAGCCGCGTGGAAGTGCACAGAAATACTCTGCGGCCACAGAGTGCAAGTCAATAGTAGCCGAGCTGTCAGAGTTTTTTTTGGCTAGTGCCATTTCACTGTGGCACAGCTCGCGTTACAAAACCTTGATTTTGACCACATTGCGCGAAAAATGTACACCTCTCGGTGCCTTCCAGAGGCAGCTGCGACCCCGCCGAGTAGACGGCGTCACACAGCAGGTGGCGCGGTGTGCAACCGTCCACTCGGCGGGGTCGCAGTAGTGGGGGAAATGGTGATTTTTAAATGAACGCCTCGCGCAAAACCACCGCTACCATGCTCCAGAAGACCCTTGTGGGCTATCATAAACACCCAAGATCACGCACTAACTCTAAAGTGGGCCCGAGATATGCCCGTCAAGCCACGGATTTTTTCTGCCCGCGCGGGAGCCTGGGCCCGGCGGCGCACCAGCGCTCGTAGATGCGCTGCCGAGCTTCGCGGTAAAGGTACCCGCTTCCGAGCTCCGCGGAGATAGAGCCCATGCCCCACGCCCTGCGCCAAAGCAACATGACCTCGCGGAACGGTCGGCACTCCGGGCCGCGGCAATAGGACCAGTCGACGCAATTGATGTCAAGCGCCCACGGCCATCGTGGGGCGCCTGGGCTGCAGACGCACCGCCGCACCACGGGATCGGGCGTCGGCAGCTCCGGGAAGGCCGCCTTGAGCCGGTGGATCGCGAGCCTATAGCTGGCTCTAGCCGCCAGCCCCCTCGCCTCGGCCTCTTCTGCCTCCGTCAGGTCGTCGTACTCCTCGGAGAGATCGGGAACTACCCAGTCGCCTACTCTTCCTCGGCCGACAATCGTCCCACCTCTCACGCACTCCTCGAAATCGCGGGCCGCCACCACGGCTTCCGCCGCGAGCGTGGAGCGAATATGCCCTCGGGCCGCGTGTCGCCGACCAACAAGCAGTAGTCGTCCACCTCCTGCGCGACGATCACCATCTCCTCCTTGGTCTCGCTCTCGAAGGTTTCGGAGTCGTCATCGATAAGCTGATGCAGCCAACAGCGACCGCCCTGCTCGAGCAACCGCCGCGCCACCGCCGCCTCGTGCTCTGCCGTCATGAGCAGGAGGCGGTTCGCCGTCTGATCTGGCGCTGCCGGCTCGACCTCCATTTCCGACTCGCTGTGGGGCTCGGCGGGCGGCTCCGGCGCCTCGGTGGCGACCGTGGGCTCGGAGGTCGCCTCGGGCTGCCTGTGGATGTTGTCGTTGCCTGAGTTCTTCTGCTTCTTGCCCGTTCGGCCGAGGCCTCGGTTGCGAGGCATCTCGGTACACGCGACGGCAGCACGACGTACGCGACGAGGCCGGCTCCTTGATGGCGACCTGCAGCAGGACGGTGCGCATGTTAAGAGCGTGGTAGCGGGCGCATCGGGCCTAGCCCGGGGCCGTGGCGTGTACCGAGAGGCTTGTCTACCGAACACTTTTGGTATGCATACCTGCCCAGAGAGCGGTCCAGAAAAATTTTATGCCCGGACTGAGCCATTTCCCCCACTAGTCGCAGCTGCCTCTGCGCGTCCTGGGGAGGTACATTTGTTGCGCACCGGAGACGACTCGACGCCGCTGAGATCGGAGATCAAGCTCTGACAGGTCGCACGTCGCTCCTTTGACGCCGACGTGACTCACCCGTGTGCAGATCACATCAGGACACGGTCTCGACGCGCTCGGTACGACGCCTGCGACCCGTCTCGGGTCAGGTGGCACGACGCTCATCGCGCCTACCAGCGCTGCCGTACAGGTTGCCACGACGAGGTCGAGCACGCTTCAATACGCTCGCCGAGCCTTCCTTCCATCCCATTAGACAGCCTGGGAACGGTGGCGAGCAGAGGCAAAGCCTACGAGGGTGGTGGAACCACATGTCACGGCTACTGCCGGCTCGACCCCACGATAGCCTCCGAAGGCTGACTTTGCGGCACCATCATGACCTCCCATGCTAGTACCATCGGCCATGGCCGCAGGGAGCGCGGGGGAGGGCGCTGGAAGCAACACGGAGCTCCGTTGGAGACGTTTTCAAGATTAGCGTGTCAGAGTGAAATGGCACTAGCCTTTCTTTTTTTGCACAAAAGGAGGCAAATCAATATGTAGATCCGATAGCCCCAACCTATCGGTAGCTGTCAGTGCACAGCGGCTATCGGGGCTGTCGAGCAAGTGCAACTCCTCTACGCCGACCCATCACTCACAGAATGGAACCCAGAGCACACAGACCGGTGGGTTCTGCGAGCCGACGGCTCTTACTCTGCTCCCACCGCCTCCGACATCGCCAACAGCTCCCTCCCAGCCCGTGTCATTGCAACCATCCACGCGCCCAGGCCGCCCCCAGGAACAGCATCGAGTCTCAACATAGGAAAAGAGGTCGAGCTTAGGTTGCGCGCGGCCGCGGCGCGCCCGCCATGGTTCGGCGCGGCGCGCCTACCAGCGGCAATTGTCGAGGCACGGGAACGCTTACCCGGGGTCATCCTCTGAGCCTGGTCGTCGGCGCCGCGATGCCACGGCGGCGCATTCGACGTCGTCGGCGCGCTGCCCCGCGGTGAGCCCCGCCGCACGTGGCGACGGCCGCAGGTTGGCCCGGTGCAGCGCGCCCTGGCCGCAGACTGAAGAACGGCCACGAGGGGTGTGTAGCTTGCGGTAGGTAGGTTGCAATTTGCAAAAAAAGAATTCTTAAGATACAAGCCTCTCTCACAGCACACTGGCACGACAAGGGCGCAGACTGGCGCGGACTGGCACACACACCGGCTCACCACCGGAGCCGCCTAAGCGACTCCGTTAAGAACGGCAATGCACTCCGCACCATGCACAATGCCGCTCTCCCCGCACGCTAGCTCGTTCACCGTCTGCCACGCCACGGCGGTGTGGAGGACGACAGACAAGCGCTGCATCTGCAGCCCGTGCCAGTTCTTGGTGGTCCATGTGACCTCGTCCAGGTGCTGAGCGTGCGAAAGTTTATTGCTCAGCTGGTTCGCCGCCTCCCTCAGGGTGCTGCGAACCTCCTTGCCAAAGCCTCCGAAAGCCTCAAAATCAAACAAACGTAGATCGCAATCCTGCTGCCGCGCAAAGGGGTAATCGCCAGGCTGCTCCGTGAGCTTTCTCTTGGGGGCATCCTCCTCCTCCCCAAAGCTTCTTCCTACACTACACACGGATGCCCCCATGCCAACACTCGAGGAGGCGCTCCGGCGGATCCATCTTGAGCTCCATCGCGACGCCGACCGGCACAACCTCACCGATCCACACAGCCTCGGTCCGGCGGCCGTCAGCTGCGTCGCAGCCGACGGCGAGGGCAGTGTCGCCGAGGTTCTCTCGCTGTCGGTCGGTGGCTGGCCCGGCGGCATCGAGACGGGCATTGCGATCCGGTCTCTCTCAAAGATGATCATCAGCGCCGCCTTCCTCGCGCTGGTGGAGCGGGGCAGCACGCCGCTCACCATGGCCAGCACCCTGTCTCAGTTCGTGCCGGAGTGTGCCGGCTCATCGCTGGCGCACGCGAACGCCAGCAGCCTTCTCTCGATGCGATCCGCGCTCGACAACCGTCTCAACGCCGCCTGGCAGTCCGTGGCCGGCACGCCTCACACCTGCCACCTTCGCGGCGGCACGGGGCGAAGCAGCCATCCTCGAATCGGAGCGTTCCCGTAGGCATGGACGACCACGCCGCCTTCCCTCCTGTCTGCGACAGCCTCGGCCTCTCGCCGTATGAGTGCGCTGCCACCGTCGTCTGCCCAGCCTACCCCGCCGTCGCGGAGGCCGCGCCGGTCCTTCCCGCGCAGCTGCGGGGCGCGCTCGACGCCGAGGGGTCCACCTGCAAGGACACGCACCAGTCGTGCGCCAGGTGGGGAGATCTGGGGAGATGTGGGGAGATGTGGGGAGATATGGGGTCCGCCTGCGAGGACACGCACCCGTCGTGCGCCAGGTGGGGAGATATGGGGAGATGTGGGGAGATGTGGGGAGATATGGGGTCCGCCTGCGAGGACACGCACCCGTCGTGCGCCAGGTGGGGAGATATGGGGAGATGTGGGGAGATGTGGGGAGATATGGGGTCCGCCTGCGAGGACACGCACCCGTCGTGCGCCAGGTGGGCCTTGGCTGGTGAGTGCCGTGCGAACCCGTCCTACATGCTGCCCGCGTGCGGCGCCGCGTGCGGCGCCTGCAGGCGCGGCTCGCAGCACACCGCCGCGTCGCTCGGCGATCGGGCTTGGTGGCAGCGCGCGGACGACTCATCGCCGCGCCTCGGCCCGACGCACCGCTGCCGGTACGACAACTTCGGGCCGTCGTTAGTCGACGCGATGGTCGAGTCAGCGACGGGGCGGCCGCTGTGGCAGCACTCGCTCGATCTCGTCGCGGCGCCGCTCGGCCTAGCGGCGATGACGCGCTGCATGGCCACAGAGGCCGGAGGCGGCCGGGGGAGAGGGGCATCGGAGACCACGTGTGGCGCAGAGAGCGGCGGCGGCGGCGGCGGCGGCGGCGGCGGCGGCGGCGGTGGCGGCGGCGGCGGCGGCGGCGGCGGCGGCGGCGGCGGCGGCGGCGGCGGTGGTGGTGGCGGTGGTGGCGGCGAGCCTGCACGCTGCTATCGGCCTCCTCTCTCTCCGGCCGAGACGCTCTCGCCGTCGACGTGGCGGTTCTGGCCGGGTGGCCCTCAGAGCGTGTCGTGGGCAGCGTCGAACGGCCTGTTTGGCTCTGCAAAGGACCTCTCCCTCTTCGTCGCACTCCTCGCCAACGGCGGCGTGCAGCGCGGCAAGCGCGTGCTGGGCGCCGCGGCGGTGCGTGAGATGGCGTCAGACCTGAACGACGACGGCCTCGAGTGCCAGGGCACAGACACGCTCGGCCTTGGGGGGTGGGCGGTAGTCGCTGATCTCAATGAGTAGTCGGAACTGGTGGTATTGCAATAGGGATGGACACGCTCGGCCTTGGGATTGGGCACTGCCGACAGCCCGACGCGCCTCGCAGCAAGTGCGTGGCCGAGGAGTGGTGGGGCTGGGGCAGCACCTACGGCGCGCGCGTCCTTCTGCTGCCGCAGCGGCCTGCCAGTCTAGAAGATGCAGTGGCGCCCTGTCTTTGTACTCCAGCGAGCACTTCCGGCGACACTCGGCCGCGTTGCAGCCGTCTTCACTGCACTCGGATTGCTCCCGAATGCGACCGTCTTTTCACCCTCGCCGTGCGGATGCTCTAGGCCTTTGAGCGCCGGCCCCGGCCCCGCCCTCGCCTGCGCCACCACGCCCTATCTGGCGGCGGAGGGCCAGGCCCAGGCGCCAGAGCTGCCCAGCGGAGAGCGCGAGCGGCTCGGCGGCCGCCAGCACGAGTACGCGCACACGCAGGCGCTCGCTCTCCGAGCTTTGTGCCCACTATCAGGGGGGCGGGAGCCCGCCTGCGAAGACGCCTCGCCGGAGTGCGCGCCGCGGGCCGCCGCGGGCGAGTGCGCGCGCAGCCCGAGCTACATGTCTTCGATGTGCTGCGCGAGCTGTGCGGGCAGGGCGGGCGCCACCGCCGAGGCCGCGGCGGGAGCGGAGTGGGCGTGCGTAGCGGGTGCGACCATCTCGGCGGACGCGGTCGAGAGGGCGCTCGCAGCGGTGCGCGAGCGGCGGCCGGGAGCTAAGCGGTAAGTTGGCACGCCATGTCCCTCCCTGTTCGGAAAACCATCCATCCAAGTGCATCCACAGCGGCGGATGAGATCGAATTCATTATCCGCAAGTCATTTTGCACTCTTTATGTCTGGGTCTAAGGTAAGGTAAGGTAAGGTAAACTTCTCCACACACACCGTTGGGCAAGGGGGGGCAACCCGCCCCTCGCGAGCACGCGCGAGGTCGCGTCTCCACGTCTGACGACCCAGGAGCCCCACGGCATTCAAAGTGCAAGGGCCAAGGCCCCGTGGCCAGTGCGCGAAGATGAACTGTGTGTACGTGTGTGTGTGTGTGTGTGTGTGTGTGTGTGTGTGTGTGTGTGTGTGTGTGTGTGTGGTGTGTGTGTCTGTGTGTGTGTGTGTGTGTGTGTGTGTGTGTGTGTATATGTGTGTGTGTGTGTGCGTGTGTATGTATGTGTGTGTGTGTGTGTGTGTGTGTGTGTGTGTGTGTGTGTGTATGTGTGTGTGTATCGTGTACGGTGTGCGTGTGAGGGGGG